AATATGGGCCAAAAAAATCGGATTTGGGTCACTTCAGGCTGCAGTGTGAACATAGCGTTAGTTACAGATAAGCCACTGCTCCATAGAAATGGCTGATGCCACAGCAGAGTCATAGAAGGTCTTTAGGAGCGCCCCCTGCACTCCAGAAGACCTCAGTCTCCTCAGCAGGAAGAGTTTGCTCTGACCTTTCTTCTACAGAGCCTCAGTGTTGTGAGTCCAGTCCAGTTTGTTATTCAGATGAACACCTGGGTACTTATAAGAGTCTACTATTTCCCAGCTTTCTTGTCCCCTCAGCATGATGCTGCCTCCTCCATGTTTAATCGGATGATATATCTTCAGTGTCAGTTTTCCAATGCAAAGCTGTATTGCGTCTCCGCAGAAAAGTAAGTTTTTGTTCTCATCCAAAGGAGCAGCTTCTTTCTTTTTATGTTCTTCTCTTACGTCTTTTCTTGCAGTTTTCTTCCAGTGCTTTAATGCTCGTCTCGAATCCTTCTCTGACTGACGATGCTCTTGCCTGACCTCTTAGATTAGCTCTGCAGCGATGCATCAGGTTTTTTTTTCTGATGAGAGCTCTGCGAGATGTTTAAGGCCTTAGAAATTTCTTTATAACCTAAATTTTATTAGGTTTCTAAAAATGTAATCCCTTAGTCGTCTGCAGACAGGCTTTGATGATGCTGATTTTAAACACAACTGATTGTCAATAGGATGAATTAGAAATTATTTTAATAGAAAAGGCCTTTTATTTCAACCATGTCGGGTTTGTGTTGGAAAATGTGTTGAATGCTTCTATACATTTGTTCTCTTGTCTCTCAGTTACGCTGTACGGCGTATTCACCAACCACAGCTGTGTTGGCGTCGCCACCCGCTGCCTCCTGCTGGAGCTCCTGGATGTCAGCGTGTCGGAGCTGCTGGTGAGACGCAGCAGTGGTGTCAAGGGTGGGAGGTAGGGATGCACGATGTTGCCTTTTTTGCCGATATCTGATACGTCGATATTCCAAAACCGGAAGTTCTGATTTCCGATAAAAGCCGATACCAATACAAACTAATATCAAAACTTGCGAGTAACAAAATTTAAGCATAACTACTTTTACCATTGTAGAGAATTAAAAAAAACTTCAGGAAAATGCAAAATGTTAACATTTATTTTCAACACCGTCTCAAACAGCATTTTGGAACGTGCTCTTCCTGAGCTTAATCTGAAAAAGTGAATTCAAACCAGATATAAATCTATTTGCTTCATAAACAGAAAGAAATAGAACCTCTCCAGTGCCGCTATATTACACAGAAATGAGTGTGAACAAAAATGTTTAAAAAAGGAGCGGAAAAACACTTTAAAAAGCAAATGGAACATTAATCTGCAAAAGTCACGAATAATTACAACTGCAGAGGATAAGAACACAGTTTCACTTCAGGAAAACGCAACATCCGTCCATCCATCCATCCGTCCGTCCATCCGTCCGTCCATCCATCCATCCACCCACCCTATCGTGGTGGAGTGTCCCAATGACCTTAAGGACTGGTTATCCTCTCGCAGCAGTGAGTTTGTCGCAGATATTTTTGATGTAGGCCCAATATTAAAGCGTGGTCTGCGATATGTTATTCCACGCAACAACGCAAACGGGACAATCATGAACAAACTGGGTCTAGATCCGGCCGAGGCGGTGAGGAAGTGGGGCAAGTTTGTCCGACAACGGAGGGACATGAGGGCGAAAAAGAGCGGAGATCCAGGTGGAAAAAGGGTCCCAGCGTTCTCGCACACCTTGCTCCTATAGCTGGTCCATCCTCACCAGTCGTTTTCCACAATGGCGGTCATACAAAAAAAACAAGCCAATAAGGTACCAAAGAGGAAATACTCATAGTGTAGAGCGGATGTAGATTGGACCAATCAGAGGCCTCCTGTCTGTGGCACTGTTTGCGGTCACCTACAGTTTGGGAGAGGTGCAGCAGAGCCTCTGCGGAAGGACGGGGGCAAATTTGCGTTCACTGCGACACTCACGCAGACGGCCTGGTTTCTCAATATAAATCAGCCTTTAGCTATGCTCTCTGAGTGCTTTATGCCCCTAGTAGGGTCACCCAAGGCAGACAGGTCCTAGGTGAGGGAACAGACAAAGAGCAGCATAAGGACCTCTTATGGTCAGTAACACAAATGGACCTAGTGTTCCCTGGTGGCTGGGCTTTTACCCATGGAGCCCGGCGGCGCACAGCCCAAAGAGGAAACATCACTACTCTTAGGGGGGGACAAAGGGGTTGGGTGCAATGTGTGATGGGTGGCAATCAATGGTGGGGACCTTGGCCGCCTGATCCTTGGCTGGAGAGCTGGCTCTTGGTATGAAAACTCAAAATGTTACACTTATTTTCAGCATTGAACCTCTCCGGTACAGTACACTGGGAGGTAAGCGCCGCCGCTGATGACAGAATGTCCCAGTGAGACGGTTCTACCCTGAAGGTTATCTTCATGTTTTCTCTGGATTTATTTCTAGAAAAGCTTCATGATGAGTTTAAAAGCATTTCTGTTATTTCATCCCATCATGGAAGCAAATAATGAATGAAATGAGTTCATGAAACAACGGATGTTTACTAGGGGTGTAAATCACATCCATCATGGCGATTCGATTCAGTATCGATTTCCTGACCCAACGATTCGATTATTTTTCATACT